GGCACACGTGGCCGGAGGAGCCGGGAGGAACGGGACGTGCGGGGAAGGCGGCGGGGGCGGGGGAAGGGGAGAGCACCGAGCGCAGCGCGAGTTGTCTTTACCTGCTCTGGTTAGCATCTCAAACTCGGACACAGTCTCCCGCAGAGGCTGCATACCTTTAGTGGCTGCGTCACTAAACGAGAACTCCTGGCTTTCGTTGTGGGTCAGGGCCTCGGTGCTGCTCACCCGGGACGGCTTGAGGAACACCTTGGGCTCGATATCCAGCTCAAACTGTTGGAAAAACGTGGCGGGGAAAGTCACGTTCGCAGTTGCTTCAGCTCCCATCTTCCGTGCTCCCCCCGTGCCCCCAGGAGGGGCCACTTTCTCAGGCTTTAATTTCTATCTTGAACCCCCAGAGGCTAACGTGGAGGTTGAGGAAGAGCCAAGGAACTCCCTCCATTTCCAGGCGCCCCAGGGATCGCAGCGGGACCGAGAGGACTGCCCTAACAAACCTCTTCTCCCCGAACACCCAGGTTCCCGCCTCCTTTTGCGCACGCGGGAACGTGTCCTTACCTTGATAGAGCTGTTTTCAAACATATCCACAGTCATTTCCTCCTCTTCCTCCTCCTCTTCCTCAGCTGTGGACTCAACTACCATCCCTGGGAACTTGTCAACGCCACAGAATTGCAGGAAGATGGGGGCCCGGCTGGAGTTGCGCTGTATTTCCACCCGCAGGATGCCGTCGCGCGGCCATTTGTCTCGCACGTGCTCCAAGCAGTTAATGGGCGAGCGGGAGAAGGCGATGTGGATGTAAGCCAGGATGAAGAGCACGAAGAGAGCCTGCACACAGCACGAAACAACGCAGAGACCATCAGCCCAGCCAGCCCGGGCCTGTTTACAGACCCCCCCGTTTTAACCATCTCTTTGCCCGTGAAGACACTGGGCTAATCTGGACACACGGATTTGCAAGCGGACACGAGCTTTTCAGCCCCGGCGGTCCCGGCATCCTCCACAAAGCAGCCCAGAATCAGGCAATTTCAGCACTTCCCTGTCAACAGGGGAACACAGCGACGACAGCAGCAGGAACAATCTCCTCCTGCTCACGAGACCGGCGCAGCACACGCGTCCTGCTGAGAGCACAGGTCACACGCACGGGCCCCTGCGCCGTGCGAGCTCCTGCAAACCAACACTGCCCCCCAAAACACAGCACCGGCGTGCCGGGAGACTCCAAAGCACTGATGGAGTCGGAAACGCATCCGT